AACAAACAAATTCCCACACTGGTTTCCCATTACAAGCGCTCCCTAACAAACCCCTTCACCACCACTCTCTCTCTTACATGTGGACACACAATCACGCACACACACCCCATCCCCCAGCAGCCGTTTTCAGTGAGGACCCTCAGAGTGGTGGATCAATAATTAGAACAATCCTTATTACATGCTCTCATTTTCCCTTAGAGAATCAAGCTAATGTAGAACAATAGCAGGATACAGTAGAGTAAGAACGCCGCGTTGAATGCTGGAGGAATCCATCACGTTTCCAGACATGTGAAACGTGAGGATTACAGTGTACTGATGGAACTCTATGCTACTATACTAGGATCTACATGTGAATGCATGACATCTCACAGCCACACTGTCAAGATTCAGGAAATGTTGTTCCTTCTCACATCTGAATGAAATTTGATTTGATGTAGAAAGACATCAGACTAGTTAAGCGGACCAGAGTATGCCCTACTGCAAACTGTATTTATCAAAGAAGTAGACAGCTAGTAGAAGTAGCTAAATTGTTGGTATGCTTATTGATAAAACTGCAGTGAATATCAGACAGCGTTAGTGCAACTTTTCCGTGAACAATCAGAAACCAGCACAGGAATTCAACTCACCTACCTCCAGCTAAATCAACTATACAAAGAGGTACTAAATAAATATTTTTTAAAAAGCTAAATGCAGTCCCAGCAAACAGATTTTCTAGTTTTTTAAAAGTATCTTTTATGGTTTTTTCTTATTTTCATGCCAGCAGAGACAACGTAGGAATCTCATATCAAAAGGCACAGAGTGTCCCTTTCAGAGTGTCAGTGCATATAAGCTACTATATATATGTACGTGTACAGTCAAGAGCGTGATGTTTTGTTCAATATGAATATTGGACATTAAGACCAGGTGACCACTGCCTCTCTGAGACAAGCACACATGCACACACACTCATCCAATGTGTCCTGCAAACAGTGTAGTACTTATACTACAAACTAGAAAATAACTGATTTTGTGATAAACATAGTTGCACATAATACATTATATTACTCAAGCTTGGCAGCCTTTCCTAAATCCGGGTCTGTCAATTGTCCAGGCGATGGCCATCTTGATGGTGAAAACATTTTGTAATACTGGGAGGAGTTCCCAATGCCAGTGCAATTAGCTGAGGCATGCATGGACGCTGAATTCATTAACCTCCATCTTTCAGGGGAGGGTGGGGAGAGGAGGAGGGGAAGGAGGAGGCGAGCAATACGCGTGTCGGCTTTGTTTCACCCAAAGCGATGGCAGGGACGTTATACAATAAAGTAGGAAAGAAAAAAATAGAGAAAATGAAGAGATAAATTTGTCTTAATTTCCACCAATATTACGTCCCCCTGAGGATTTTTTACGCCGTTGTTTATTTTTGCTCCAGGGGCTGGACAGAATCATGCCTTGCCACTGTTGCCATGAGCTTGCACTGAAGCACAGGGCTGGAATCCAATTTCAGCACTCCAACTTACCCTCAGGCTCTCATCCCATAGTCCTTATTTAGATTCATCACTCTTATTATCGAGATTTATACCTCCTAATGAACAGTGATGATAGTGATGAATCACAAACTTTACCTCCGATGTGGAGGACAGACTTAAGTGGATCAAAGAGTAAAAGCATTCTCAATGTAACAGACACAATGGTGCAGTACGAGGCTTCAACGACACACAGTCAAAGCACAAAAGCACAAAACTATCAAATAGGCACAACACTTCAACTGAAGGTGAAGCATTATCGAAACAGGACCAAATGACCCAAATAAACCTTAGAAGAAGAATAACAAGTACCATACCAATGCATATTCTGGGTACTAGAATGGTGTGCAAAACTGGGACAGTAAGAAACCCATGCTTTGCTTAGCTCTCTCCCTCTCTCTCTCTCTCTTTCTCTCTCTGGGAATCCATTGGGGGCTCCTGGCTCTAGATAATGTCATTAGAAGTACAGCAGCTTGAAGCATTTCTGTAACACCGTAATGGGGGTTTCCCATTAAAGTGACCACTGCAGCGACCAAGTTTTCACTGATTTCACTGAAACTGTCACACAACACATGAAAATTAAGCTTTTATGCAAACACACGCGTAACATCTCACTAGAAACTCCATCTCCTCCATCCTCCTATGATGCTTTCCTGGCGATTTACATAACTAACACAAGTTAAGATGGCTTAAGTTGTGAGGCATATGCAACAATGACCTTTCCGCAACAATCCAGTTGCATTTTGCAGGTGACGAAATGAGAATAGCTCAAATCAACACAAATGAATAATTAATACATGTCCAAAACTTAGTTTACTGGGTGCATTTAGGAAGTAGTGATCAAATGAACAAAGAAGTGGTTAAGGGCACAGCCTATGCTTGAATGAACTTCACACTGGGTTATAATACAACATTACTTCAAACAAGACAGGAAACCCCAGCAATCACAGTAAGTGGTATGAGCATGCAACTTGAGAAGTTAATAAATATCAATGCAACATAAATTAAGTATGAATTTCAAAACATTTTGCTGCATTTCATGACACATACAGTCATCCACCTGCTTGGTGACTAATGCAAAAAAAAAGGAGAAGCATCCACTCTGCATTTAAAAGTGTTTTGTACTTGCTCTGCTATCTAAATATAGCATTGGTAGGGCTGTGAAAGGAGTGACTCAAAACACTCTGTTGCACAATTTGCGCCAAAGCAAGCACATATGCATTTACTACAATATGATGCAGACAGAAATAAAGGGTTTTCAGGCAGAATAATAAAGAGAAAATAACAACATAACTTTGAAATAATGCGAGATTTCTTGAGTTGGGCTCCATGGCTTCTAAAAAAGTTCAATTACAACATTAAAGGGATGGAAAAAATTCAAATACACTGTGCGCAAGTTATCACGGTTTTAATTTTCTTCTCTGTTATTCTTTCTCATTTTTGTCTCTCACTGTAATTCCCTTTTATCACATTTTTCTGAATGTGTCACTCTTTTGTTATGTCTGTCTGTGACTCTGATAACTCCTGGTCTATATTATGAGACACAGTGAGAGTTGGAAGGCCACCAACAAGACTAACCAGTGCACAAGCAAGGGCAGCCATGGAGTGAAGCCATAGGAATGAAAACATAAGAGCACCCGGTGTGTGTATTTTGAAATGCAGCTACTGTGTAAAGTGTGGGAGAGGGAGCGACTGACAGCAGCGGCCCACAGTTCACCATCTGACAAACAAATTAACTTTAGTGTTTGACTTTGTTTTGTCACAGAGTATTATTAAAAGCTAGCAGTGTGAGCCAAACAACAAATAATAAAAAAAGTCACAGAGCCATACGTGAATGGACAGGATGATGTGAATAAGAGAGACCAAGCCAAAAAGGGAGAAGACAAAAAAAAAAAGCCCTACAAAGGAACACAGAGTGACAGACAGAGAAATGAAGAGTAGATCGGTGTGAGGACAGAGAGAAGGACGCAGGGCAGGCCGAGAAGAAAAAGCTGATTACTCTCATGGATGGTGCTGTGCACAATCCAATCAATACAACCCTCTCCTCTTCTCTCCTCTCCATCTCTGTCTCTTGTTCTCTTCTAAGAAACATGACCCTTCATAAGGACCATAAAACCTCCAATACAGATCAGCATTGGAGACACATACAAGTTTGCCACACAAACACAGGAGAAAGTAAAAAAAAAAAGCGCTGCAACAGGCATGAGCACAGTCTTAAAACACATTTGGCTCCAAAGAACTCCACCAACTCACTTGACCTCAAGAATCTTTGTTTTGTTGTTTGTTTAGAGAAGATTGGGCCATGATAGCTCGCTTCTTGTTTATGCTAAGGTCAAATAACGTTGCCAGCAGCATAATTCAAAACCAGGCACCCATGGGCGCAAAGTACAGTAAATGTCACTGTTATTGAATTGATCTCTCACGGTCAAATCTCCTGGCATTAATACGCAGAATGAAAATAAATGCTTTCTTTAAACTCTGTTCCGGTCAGACAGACAGAGAATTCATTGTTGATTTTGTGTTTTTTCTCAACAGAAGAAGCTCATAAGTTCCTTATGTTCTCCTTATTTTTGCACGAGTGTCTCCCTCTGGTTTGTCCAAAGTAAAGAACGAAAGAAGAGGCAGACCCCACGTGCATTTCTGTTCCTCCTCTCTCAAATGAAAAGCTTTGTCATCAATAAATCAGACATGTATGCATTATACATGGCTGTCTGTGCATCCAAGCACAAACACAGACATGCACATGCAAGAACCTAAAAAACTCACTAAAGCAATCATTTATATTTACAATACAGAGGTCAAGTGCATGTATGTGAGAAGTTTGCACCTTGGCCTGGGTTTGCTCCATTTAATAGCATATTTTTTTTATTTTTCACACTCCTTGAAACTTCATTTGATAGAAATAAAAAAGTCTCAACAACCTGACTCTGCATAATGCCCGCTCTTCACTAAAACGAGGAAGGATGGATATGGAATTGTTTAAAGAAGCCTTGTGTGGTGTAGTTTTACTAAAGACAGACAATATGAAGCACTCATAAAGAGTTGGAATGGGATAAGAACAAAAGGCGCAAGTCCATGGTGAGTTCACCTCATTCAGAGGCAGGTAGCTAAGATCATCATCGCAAGCAGGTGTAATTATCTTTGACTTTCAGCAGTCATGTATGCCCACATACTCAGATACACTTTAGAACGCATAGAGGCAATAAACCCTGACTCCATCACACATGCATTTAAAGTACAGAGTTACAGATGCTGTTTGAATTGGACAGCACGACCAGAGTAAAGAGATACAGCAAGAGAATCTCCACATCTGGATTTATATGAACACGTGAATGAATGAATGAATGTATGTGAGACCTCCAAGCTCATTTAATCAGTCAAGCTGAGGTAAACGTCCACATCTACTTGCTCATACACACAGAGTCACGGTCCAACGACGCTAGTGGAGCAAAGCAGATGAAGCCACCAGCCAGCCAAGCCAGCCCTCGTCTCTTTTACCTTTCTCTTTTGTTCCCGGGATGCTGTTCTCCTGCTCTTCCTCCGCTTCTCCTTCTCGTCCTCTATTGCATTCACATCCACTTCCCCCCGATTCTTCTTCAATTGGGAGGCCGCGTGAGCCATGATAGGTAATAAAAAAAACCACGAAGAAGCACCACACACTACACACGCGTGCCTCACCTGAAATCCCAGAGAAGTTCAGGGGCTATAATTTGACAAAACCAGGATCTCAGAGGAAAAAATCGGGGTAGAAAAGGAAAGGGGGGGAAAGGGAAGAAAAATGCCCTCCTTGAAAAGGAGAATGGAGAAGAGTAGGGTTTCTTTTTCTTTTGTATGTATGTATATATATCCTGTGTGTCCTTTCTTTTGGTTGTTGCTCTGGTCTGGTCTCTCTTTCTTTCTTTCTTTCTTTTTTTTAAAGTGATGGAAAGCTGGGAGAAAAGAGACAGCAGCTTCTCCTCGTCACCTCTTCCTCCTCCTCCTCCTCGTGTGTCATCCGTTGGCAGTGTGAGAGGAGCACGTCCAGGAGAGGTGAGGACGAACCGGATGGAGAGAAAAGAGACACGAGCATCACCAGCACAGAGGTGGAGGGAGGGAGGAGAAAGGAGAGAGAGAGAGAGAGAGCGAGAGAGAGAATGGAAGTGGAGGGAGGGTGTGTGTGGGGGGGGGGGGGGTAACAAGGGAAACCCAACCCTTTTTTAAAAAAAATGGTTTCTCTTAAATCTTTCTTTCTTTTTTTCTGTCCCTTTTTCTTTCACTTTCTTTCTCTGTCTCTGTGCTCTGGTTCCTGCTGTTGTACAGCACCTCAACTGGTGCTCCACCACAGGGCGCTTGTGTGTGTGTCTGTGTGTGCGCAACAGAGATAAACTGTGTGTGAGCAGATACGAGTGCATGAATGAAGCAAAGACATTGGCTAGGAAAGGAGAGGAAATGGTGGCAGGATGCAACAGCAGAATGGGTGAGTGTGTATTTATATAGATATACCTATATATGTGTGTGTGTGTGTGTGTGTGTATGCGCGTGTGTGTTTAAACAGCATTTATCTACTATCACACATATATACACGCATTACCAGTTGGAGGTGATCAAGTAATGGATGGTAGAACATGCAGAGGACACACGTAGAGCCAATGCAGGAGGGAGGAGAGAGTAAATGACTGATGCTCACACCCTTCAACCCCCACGCTCATGCAACCACACAACCATACACATGTATGCACAAGGAAGACTGTAACAATGTTCTTGACTGACACAAAATTGAAAGAAATAATAATCCAGTCGTCCATTAAGTAAATTAACTAATCTGCACAGAATTATAAATGATTTAGTAAATGAATGAATGAATGAATAATTTAATAAATGCACACATCCAAAATCTAACAAGTAAGCGCCTGCTTCCAAGATTTATGAGTCCTCAATCCTGTGCTTCCCTAACTTCTGTGTGGTCAACCCATCTGGGATCATTGACATCATGATGGAGAGGTCAAACAGGACCAGGGGAGCTTTTGTTTCACCAAATCTCTCGGGTCTTTGTTGAAAACAGAGAGGAGGAGGAGAAGGAGGACAGAGCGACAGTAAAGAAGATCTACATAGAAAAAGAAAAAAAAAGACCCTGTTTGAGTTCTGAAGAATGGGGAAAAAACGTCTTGTTTAGAATGTCCTTCACAACCACCACGCTCACGTCACACATGGCATCGTGGAGGCAGATGGAGCATGCAGCAGCCATCTTTGTATTTCTTTCCCTTCCTGCCTGCGTGTCAGAGGCACTCATGAGTCTGGTTGGGTCCTGTCGACACCAAGAGGATGCCTTATCACATGCCTGTCTGCTTTCAACAAATTCTGTGTTCATTCACAGCTCTAACTGTATGGACTGAACATGGAACCATATGGGGAAAAGTGGGGGATAGGAAAGGAGATGATCGGGTGCCACTGTTAGTGAAAGAGGAGAACAACCCTCCTGGGAGACACAGCGGGTTTAACTGGTGGACACCAGTCATGTAACGATATGAGCGTGAAATTCCCTTTTCTTTCCCGCAGAAATCTATTCATCCTCACCACTTCATTTTTCTTTCTTTTCAACCACAAACGCCAGCCAACAGCAAAAAGGGGGGCTGAAGCTGACTTACAGCCCCCATAATGCATCAGGGGGTGTCACATTATGCCAAATTATCATGCGGTTGCTAGGTGAGGGCCAATGGGATGGCTCAGGGGAGGACAGGATGGATGGATAAGGAGCGTGGAGAGGTAAGACGAGGGATTAGAAAGGGAGGGAGCAAGCGGGTGGGTACATGTGTGCATGTGTATGTATGGAGGCATATGTGCACATGATATACAAATCACCCGAGTGGAAAGAAAAGAAAATCCTTTGTCCAAAGAGAAATGTAAAATTAAAAAAAATTAACTGTGTAAAAAAATAATTTAGTACCTGCCAGTTCTAAAGCCCATTTCCCCCCCCCACAATTCATTCATCAATAATACCCTAATCGCACTTTAATAGCCAAGAGAAGAGTGTACTCTCCCACAGTTGTACTTGTAGTAAAAGCTACTGCCAAGGTGTCCTATATTTCAGACACCAGCATTTTGGAGGCAAAGGGAAATAACAACTACTACAATAGAGTGGAGTTGGCTGGTGGCCGGTGAACTCTAGAAGTGGACGATTATTGGACGTTTTCCACTGTTCTTCAGGCACCATGCCATAAACATAAAGCCAGGCCAAATAAAAAAAAGACTATTAGAGTGATATATCACACACAAAATGAAGAATACACTGCATACAAAATGTTTAAGCATGTTACAGAAGACATAAACGTTAAATTAGTCCATTATTAGGGTGGTAATTTTAAATTGGTGGCTATTAGGAGAGCTGCAAGTTCATGAATTGGCACAATGGAGACACAGTACTTAAACATTCCTGAAAGTGAGCTAATGGTCTAAGCCAGTTTCAGAGAGAAATGTTGATATTGTGCGCTCTTTTATCAGAATAAAGCTAATTTATTTGTGTCTGTGCTGTTGATTAACAAAGGTCTTTGTGAAGGAATACTTTGGAATAAATATCATTCTTAATTAACATTATTCTTCGCATTATTGTAGTATTATTCTACAAGCAGCAATAGCAACCGGTATTCTTCAGATATTCCTGAAAGCATGTTGTTACATCCGTGGTAGGCTGCCTTGTCCTGAGCCTCTGTATCCTACCGATGCAGCTCCCAAGCTGAAAACAGCTTGTCCAATCACAGCGTGACTCCCAGTGGCCTCTTTGATCTCTCCAGTGACAACAGTGCACCCCCTAACACATAAGCAAAAACAGGCAAAAGCCCAGACAGGATCCAGAGTATCTCAGCTGGAGAAGTCACATTGAGGTTACAGAATAGATAATTACACCGGCGCAATAAAAGAGGGAGGAAGGTGACGCTTTCTGCAGCCACATGAAGGGTTTTACTGCCCCTTTTAACCAGGCCGTGTAATAGGTAATTACTTGACCCAAATATAAATTAAGTGTTTCTTTGCACTGGTGATTTTGTACTTATTTTACACGCCATTTTTCCTATATATTCGTCAGATTGACTAAACCAATTCGCACATGATGTATGATCTGCATCCGTTTGGAGGTTTTGGAATAAAGAAAAAAAATGTATAAGCTTATTTTGACCAGCCAGACTGCACACATACATTGTACTCTGCTGCCATCTAGTGGTCAACTGTTAACTAGATGGCAGCAGAGTACATCAGGCAGTACAGGACATTTTAAAAATGAGTTTTTGTTTAGAAAACATAGGCAATGCAAATTTGACATCATAAAAATTTGATAAGATTGAAAAGCACCCACATATTCAGGGATATATAAAGAAATCACTATAGCTGCCTACTATTTACAACACATGAACAAATTTCACCTGTTCTCTCAATCCACCGCAGCCATTAAAGATTTAAGATTTTGCCTCTGTGCTTAAGGCTTTTACATATAAAATAACAGAACCTTATTCAGCTCATATAAACCATAACATCCATCTGTACAAAATACTCTTCCCTGTGCTGTGCTCCAGCTGGGAAGAAATCATTGTTTGTTGGTCTGGAAATGCCTCCAGGAATAAGAAAAAGGGTAGAGGAAAAGAATGCAAGGTCAAATGGCAAGTGGCACAGACTGACAAGAAATAGATCTACCCACACAGAGAAATACCACCTACACTTGGCCTGAAGGCTAACATTGGGGGGAAGTGCTGAGTAGAGGTGGTGGGGATTGAAAAGAAGGTATTGTGTTTTAAAGCGCCATGACATAAAACCACAGAATAGAAATAAAGGAAAAATAATGGATGAAGTAACAGTCTACAAGAACAGAGAGGTGAAAAAACACCAAAATGCAGGGATGGAAACAAGTACAACCAAAGGAAAAATCATCAATTCCTTCGGGATATGTAGAACGTAAAAGATCAAAACAAATTACTCAAGTCTCACTTTATATCCAGCGGTATTGCAGTCATACTTAAGTGGGTGTATTTACGGCCATAGCTGAAGGCAATTTGTAGTTGTTTGGGTGAGTTTTATTTTTTTATTTTTTTAACCCTCATCATTTGCATGTCAACACAAAACTAGGTTTTACTCACACACACATATGCACAAGCGTTTTTGCATACCATCTATTTTTCTCCCTCCCCTTAATACCTTTCTCGTTCCGCTATTCTGTCATCTAAATTATTCTAATGTCTCCCCTCCAGATAAGCAAATGTGCCATGAGACATGCGCTTTAACCCAGTTAGCTACCAATAACCTACCTAAATGTGTGTCACGACCAAGCAGTCCCCTTCAAACCAGACCAAAATGTTCTTGCATGGTTTCCCCACTGAGGGGCAGACAGACATTCAGAGCGGAGGTGATAGGCATGCTAACACACGCTGTGTTTGCACACACACGGAGGCTTTGAGGTGTGGGTCTTAAATCGTTAAATTACGTTAAAAGGAGGGAGGTATGTCTTTCAAACTGTGGAATTTTTTGATTCATATTCAGTGACAGGTAGAAAGACAAGAAACAAGGGAGCTGTGCACTAAATTATTTTACAAATGCAGATAATGTCAGTCATGTTAACAGGTTACAGTCACATTACAAATGAATCAACAAAAAAACACTGATATTATGCTCACAATGCAAAAGTAGATCCTCACAAAAAAATGGATACATGCAGGCAGTGTATCTGCTGTCCACTGGATTACACACGCTCTTTGCTTCTCCAGCACAAAAAAAGATGAAAGGAGGTGATGTGGAACATCATGTCACCCCAGGATAAACCACTCGGGGAAGAGGAAATTTCACACAAACAAAAGTGAGTGCATTTATATTTCTATTACACTAGCGGCAGCAGTGTGCATTCAAAGCCCATCACTTATAGGTCTCCAGATTACACATGACTCTGTAGAGCAGCAAAGCATTTGAAAACCAAAGCAGCTAACCGAGAACAATGTGAAAATACTGGAAAAACGGCTTACATCCACGCTACTTAACCTACATTCCACCATGAAGGAAG